TATTAATGAAGAAAACATTTTTATACTTATTTATAAAAAATTACTAACTAAAATAATAATTTAGGCTTAAAAAGCCATGTTTTTGTTTTGTTCTTAGAAAATGATCTAGGAGTATTTCAAATAACATTTAAAAACAAATTTACAAATGAAGATATCAATGTATGACATATATGAGTTAGAAACAAAAAGAAAATCTCTACAGTTAAAGCATACATAAAATAAACCACATAAGACACCAAGCAGGTAAATACGAACAATTCTGTTAGTTGATCAATACATTTAAGGAGGGAATTTCACCCTTCAGTTTATTAGACAACAAAGCATCAAAATAAACTCAATCCAAATTATTACTGATGCATGCAATTACTTCCAATGTTGATTTATAAATAAGCATACATGGGGCTCAGCTGCAGCATTCAACACACTGTAATCTCTTCTCCAGGGAGTTGGGGCCCCTGTGTTTGGTGGATGGGCAAGATTCACCCTTAATGGTAGGAAAAGAATAACTAAGACCTCTTGCCTGACTCTGAAACACCTTTAGTAATAGTCACTTTATACACCCAAAATGGAGTATGCATAAAAAAAAAAAAAGACTGTTAAGAGAAAGAATAACAGAGTGAACAATGCCTAAAGCACTGGATTTATCAAAATAAGAAAACTTTTTATTAAGTGTCAAATCAATCACTTTGTATCATTACATTCTTTACAGAACCTTATTAATCTGTGTTTTGACGTATTCTTTTTAACCGTACTTGGCAGCATTAACTCGGGATAAAATGTCACTGTGCAGTCATAGGACTGACTGTAAAGAACATAAGATGATATCAAACTTTGTAACTCTGTCAAATCATAAGCACATCTGGCTACAGTCCTTTTAACTACCAGGGATAATTAACAATTCGGATCATTTCTACTTGGAATGCCAGTACACTTGCTATGTGGCCATTAGCAAGTTATTTCACCTAAGTTTTTTATTGATAAAATGGAGATAGTATCTTTACAGACTTGTGAATGCTTAGCAAATGGTTGTTCAAATTATTTTGTAGAGCTTAAACTGTTTGTTTAAAGAATAATGACTTTTTGTTTTGGTTCCTTAGTAATCCAGCAGCAAGAAACTGAGATCCTCTACTTTAGGCTAAGAATGGAGACCAAGCAGCAACAGTAGTAGTAGGTATGCTCCTACAGAGAATGTTAATTGATATAAAGATGTACATGGGGAAAGGTGCTGTCTCCATACCTGCAAAATAAGTCTTGTGAAATGACTCAAGATGCCAAAAAGCTATCTCCATCTGGCACCAAATTAATGTTAGATAATGAGATTTCCACAATTACAAGGCTACTTTATTACTACTGCTGCTTTATATAATAAATATGGCTTCAAGTAAATTCCATTATTATTTTATAACTGCTACAAATAAAATCAACTCTGAGTCACCCTTAATTCTGTCACTACTATTATAGTAATAGAAGGTTATCAGAGGTGGCTTTTGATCTGATCTCAATATAACTATCTCAAAATACATATTTAGTCAGAATTAACTGGCAAGAAGACCCCCAATTGGCACTTAACTGGGGAGCATATAACAGGAAGTGATTTCTCCACACTGCCAAGGTTCCAAGAGCAAGGGGAACCTGTTCTTGAAGATACCTGTGTCTGCCATATAGGCAAAGGAAGAAATAATTTAGCAGAAAGCCAAAGGAATCTTAGCCACTAAAAAGATTCCCTTGCCAATTCCAATAGTCCAATACTTTCCAGTTAGTATCACAATGGAGAGATAGTCAAAAGTGCCAGGTGAGCTATCCTAACATTAAAAACCATGGTTAAGTCTAACATTTTAAAAAGCACAGTTGATACTGAACCTGATGGCCAACTTGACTAAATACAAAAATACAAACACCTACCATTCACTCAATTTCCAACCCCCATACTCAAGTTGGTCTCAAAGGACAGTAAAAACTCTGTCATAGTGAATAGTTTTTTTAATACCATCAAAACAGAGCAAGATTAGCCACTGCTCTACAGATAAACTAGATATTGAACTGGTTCCAAAAGGATAGGATTAATCCATCATTAATCCACTTTCAAAGGCCTTATGTGTTTTAAATTTCTTAACAGACACGTAACAATGTAATTTTTCTTATAAAGACTGCTTCTATTAATTCTGTTGTCAATAGTGAGATCTGTATTTACTTCAATAAATCTGAGCTGACATCTCAACTCCATCACTGCATAAATGTATTTTTACATATTTTTTTAAAAACATTTAAAAAAACTTTATTATACTTAGGGGGAAGGGTAATTAGGTTTATTTATTTATATTTTAATGGAGCTACTGGGGATTGAGCCCAGGACTTCATGCATACTAAGTACCCATTCTACAACTGAGCTACACCCTCCCCAACTTAAATGTATTTTAAAAAGCTTCAGACCAGTTACTGTTACTCCTGGGAAATTTGCTAATTAAGTTGGTGATTTTTCAACAAGGTTCAATGACTATGGGTACAATCAACTCAGTAGCATAGCCTCTCCTACATAAGGGATTTCCCCCTTTTGTAAAGTTTCTTAAGATTTGAACAACCACATAGATGTGCTTTATGCAACTTCTGGATGTTCTCTGGATGTGCTGCACATATATCCATTTTAGGAAATCAAATTATATTTTAATCACAACAGCAGAGCTTACTCTTAAAAAGGAATGTGGAGATTCCTCTGGAGGAGTAAAAATTATGTTTAAAGGAGATGATCACAGTGCTGGTGTGTTTTACGGACTTATTTTTAAAGATATAAGTTGGGGAAAGCTGCGAGTCACCTGAAAACTTCTGGGATAGCTTACAGTCTTCATGACATAATTCTATTAAAAATATTTTACAGGTTCATGGGAGATACCTTCTTCCAGAAAGAGTGAGGAAGAAATAATTCTGTTAGCATTCTACAAAAAATCAATGCTTTGAGAACCTTCCTGGTCAAGGAGTTAACATTTCTGGACCAGAAAGGAAATTAGCTAGATGTTTGGACTTTCGACATACCTTCTCCACTTCTGTGGGCTCTGGCTCAGGTGGCTCAGCTGGCTCAGCTGGCTCAGCTGGCTCAGCTGGCTCAGCTGGCACTTCTTCCTTTTTCACTTCAACCTTCACTGTTTCCTTCTGTGTTTTAGGAACCACTGCTTTTTTGACAGGTGCACCTGGGACACTGCCTTCTGTGACCTCACTCTGAGCAATGGCTGGTGCAGAGGTGGGCCGAGGGCTTCGGTCTGCTGAATCGACGGCCGCTATATGAAAAAGGGAAAAGGGAAAAATAAGGGAAGGCAGGAGTCACTGTACTACTTCAAAGTCACCAGGTGAAATAACTGTGAATCCAGAACACATACAAGTGTTACGGTGTCCAGCAGGATATCATACAGAAGGTGAAAAATAAATAATTAGTGCTCTGGCAGGTAGAGATGGCAGTAAGAAAGCTAAAAGTACCCTCAATAGAAAAGCTAAAATGTCCTGACAATCATGTTCCATTAAGGGTGGGGCAGGAGGTGGGAGGTGTGTGGGCATGGACATCAAAGTAAGAAAAAATAAAACTGAAAACTCATTTTATTAAAAAGTTTGCAACATTGTTTAATCTTATAATCTATTAGTTTCAAGAACCTGAAAGATAGTCTGTAGAGGAGAAAAAAGGGTTAATTAAGCCTGATTTCTTCCATAAAGGCTTTTTGAAATAAAGATCCACTTATTTATAGGCGATTTCAGGAACCTAAAAATATATTCCAGGAAAAAAGGATTAAGTCTCATCTCTTCTGTGAAGCTTCCTTGGAATGATTACAAAATAACTTGGAGTGATTACAAAATAATTTGATAACTGGATCATCTGATAAGACATGAACCCTTTTTGACGCTTGTTTAAGGGCAAATCTTTTAACCAGACACTTTCCTTTTTAATTATCTGATTAAATAATATGAATCCAAAACCTTTCCCCTTTTGTCCTTAAAAAAGCCAAAACAATCCTTTGAGTTTTGTCCTACCTTTGCCCAGAGTCCTACTAATTTGCACTATTGCTCTTATTCTCTAATATATTTAGGGCAGCAGTTCTCAACCACAGGTGATTTTGCTCCCCAGAGAACATTTGGCAATGACTGGAGACATTTTGCTTGTCACAACTTGGGAAAGAAGCAGGAGGTGGTACTGGCTCCAGTGTGTACAGGACAAGGTTGCTAGGTTAAGAAACCCTGGTTTAGGAAAAAGGCTGTATACAGACAGTTTTAGAGAGAATATACAGTACAAACTTATGACAAAAGCTTGATCTTTTCACAGAGGTAATAGTTGTTCTGGTTTGGACTATTGGGCATCTAAGTTTCAGATCACTGACTTAAAAACAATCATTCATATTCTTTTTATAATTTTTATCTTCATTCTTTCAGGAACTAAAAGAAAACATCCATACACTTTGTAGTAAAACCTCATTTATGTGCAGTGTCTAGGAATGCAGTATGTTTCCACATGTTTAGTATTTCTGATAACAGATCATTATTCTTTTAAATTTTAATTATTCTACAAGGAACTCTTTATAAATTTTATTACACACTTTCCTGCCTTCTTAAACTGAATATACTGAACTTAATTTATCCTGGTAAGTTTAGATTTATAAGTAGTAAGGATTAGGTAAAACAAAGGAATTCCATGAATCAGAACAGATGCGAAAAACTGAAATTCACAACTACTTCATATACTCAACACCAAGAAAGAAATGCTTGATACCCCATAATGATCTCCAATGAAAGAAATCACTCCTCAGAGGATACACAGGAAAAACACAAAGATCTACTTTATCTTTCATTGAAAACTCGATAGCCTCTTGCAAGTCCCTGCTACGCAAGGGTGCTCTAAGCCAGTCAGTGCAAGAATGGCAGATGGCAGACCAAATCTAACAACACAGGGGAATGTGACAAAATATTTTGCTCACAGTTGTGTTAAGTATCGTTATACATGTGTATTCACACCTCCTCTCAAAGAATTAATTCAGCTGCCTGGCATCATAGAAACATAGTCCATGTTTTCACCATGTGTTATTTTGCCACTTGCATTTGGTTTTAATCCAATACTAATATTGCAGAGCCAAATGATTTAAGTCTTCAGCATTCCCAGCCCTGGCAATCTGTACTATCTGTGGAAAAGTAGGTATAACTCTGGAAACTGGCAGTTACAGAGGCAGAAAGTTTCATCATTTGTAAAATGTGGAAGATATTAACTCTACAGGATAGTTGGGGAAGGCATACTCAATGGATATAAAAATACTTTATAAATCCTAAATATTCATTATTTTTAATGTCATATATAAGTCTTCTTCATTCATTCATTCATTCATTCATTCATTCATTTATTTATTTATTTGGTATGGGTTAATATTTCAAGAGTAAGTTGGGCAAAAATTAATTATGTGCACACTGATATGCAATTCAAGTGAAAAATATCACCAAGGCACTCTGGAGATAGGCAAATTCCTTTCCCTTTCTCCATAAGAAGGCTACAAAAACTATCGATTACAACAGACAAATCATGGTAGTAAATGCGGCTGTTATCTTTTTAAACAGCTCTATTGAGATATAAGTCACATACCATAAAATTCACCCATTTAGATTGTATAATTCAATGCTTTTTAGTATATTCACTGTTGGAGGTAGTGATTACTTTTTAAGACGTTTTGGCTTTTCTGTTTTATGAATTCATTTGTTAGCTATTAAAAGATTTTTGGTGCATACAGAGAGAACAGTTAACTTTAAAAATTCATTCATTTCCCATCTCTGAAGGTCTAGACAAAGAAGAGTACTGGCTGTGATCATCTTGTGGACCCATTAACTCCAGCATTATACTGCTATTATCTGACAACAGCAGAAATTTAGTTATATATTAGAGCAGTGAAGCGTAAAACTCAAAACCATCATATTGAGTAAAAAGAGTCTTAAATTCTGGTTCTAGCTCTGTTACTTAATTATGCAATGGATCAATGGTTCCATTACCAGAGGGCCCCCATAAATTATGTGTGGATCTTGGAAAACAAAAAACCCAGCTGATGCTAAGTTCCACCATAGACAGATGTGGTATCTAAGAGTGGAGCTTTGGCATTTGTTTTGTTTTAAAGCTCCAAAGACGATACAGGCAAGAATGCAGGCAAGAATCACTGCAACCACTACTAAGTGGACAAATGAACAGCTTGGTTGTGTGACCATAGGAAGTTATATAATTTTTTTTTGTGCCCCAGTTTCCTCATGAGTAAAGCAAGCAAAGCTTCTTGATCACTAGGTTGTTGGCACCAAATAGGAATATATGGAAATAGTTTGAAAAGCAAAAAGTGCAAAAAAACTACAAGCTGAAAACTCCTTGTCATCATTACTAGTTTATCCTTGTGACTTACCACTCTGTGGTATAAACTGGGATCTGAACCAGTTTTAGTTCCTTCAGCTGGTGAAGCAGATGCTCTGAGCACCAGATATAACAGAAGAGAAAGGGAATGCTCATTAAAATGAGGCCCCTTATAAAGCAATTCTTATTAAAGTTTCCCTATTACACCATTCCTAGCTTAAAGGCTTATATTAATTTAAAAAAAAAAAGAGAGAGATAGAGAGAAAGAGGCCTAACAGGGAAAAGTCTCTCTACTAAGAAGAATGGCAAAGGAGGGAAAAATACTTTCCTTAGACATGCTTTCAGTTCTTATACTGAGAAGATAATGCACAGAGAAAAAGACATTTGAGAACAGAACTACAAAAAATTTGTGCAACTTAGTTTATATTCAGATGTTTAAAAGATAATATATGTAAAACATTTAGAACAGTGTCTGGAACATATTAAGTGCTCAATGAGTACTGACTATTAACCTGTAAACATGGCCCTGGGAGAACATTTCTAGATGCTACTTTTCCAGCTCTGTCACTGATTAACTATGTGACCTTAGGCAAGTCACTTAAATTCTAAGGTTAGGTTGTAAGAAATAAGAAACATCAATGGGTAACCTTTTAAGAAATTAGAAAAAGAACAGTTCAATAAAAGTAAAAGGAAAATAATAAAGATCCTAGCTGGCATAAATTAAATTAAAAATATATAACAGGAAGAAAAAATCAAAAGTTGTTTCTTTGGAAAGATTAATAAAATTAATAGATCTGTAGAAAGACTGTTCAAAAAAAAAAAAAAGGTAGGTACACAACTTACCAACATCAGAAACGCAAAAGGGGACATTGCTATAGATCTTACAGATATTAAAAAGCTACACAACTTTATGGCAAGAAATTTGAAAATGTAGATGAAACAGACATTTCCTAGAAAAATGCAATTACCAAAACTGAAACAAGAACTAGAACATCTTTTTTTTTGTAATTTGGTTTTTTTTAATTTTTTTTATTTGGGGGGGTAATCAGGTTTTAATTTATTTACTTATTTATTATTTTAATGGAGGTAGTGGGGATTGAACCCAGGACCTCGTGCATGCTAGGCACACAGTCTACCACTGAGCTGTCCCCTCTGCCTGCAAGAAGTAGAAGATCTTAATAGTCCTTTCCAATAAAGACACTGAATCTGTAGGAAAAGAACCCTCTCACAAAGAGATCTTTAGGATCAGCAGACTTAATAGGTGAATTTTTCCAAACATTAAGTAAGAAATAATATCAATCTTATACAAACTTTTCCAAAGAACAGAAGAGGAAATCCTTTTCAGTTTACTTTATGAGATCAGCATAAACTTAACACTACAACCTGACAAAAACATTAAAGAAAGGAAAATTACTGGCCTCTCTCTCTTATGAAAATCATTGAAAAACCTAAAAAGCACATTATGATCAAACTGAGTTTACTCCAAGAGTGCCAAGAAGGTTTAACAATGGAAAGTCAATCAATGTAATAATACCATGTAACATAAAATAGGAGAAAAATCATATTATTATATCAACCAATGAAGTAAAAAGCATTTGATAAGAGTCACCATTCATTCATGATAAGAACTCTTTGAAGTTTCTTAAGAAAATTTCCTTATCTAATAAAAGGCAGCTACATGAAACCCCACACTTAATGATGTGGGGTAAACACCACACTTAATGATGAAATATTGATGCTTTCTCCCTGAGACAAGAATATGAAAAGAACTCCTAAAAATTAAGACAGCCCAATAAAAATATGAGCAAAAGATTTGAACAGGCACTTCAGAAATAATAATGTGCAGACAGCCTATAAGCTATGAAAAGGTACCCAATGTCATTAGTCATCAGGATTTGAATGAAGATTTGGGGGGGAAAAAAAAGTACTCTTCTCCCAAGCAGAAAAAATTAAAGAGAGAGACAACAGTTGTAATAGGAAGTTCTAAAATATTTAAAAATATCACACTGAAAGTGTGGAACATAAAAATTCTGCTCACATTCAACTAAATAGGAAAATTAATCATTTTATTGTGAACATTTTTATTTATTAAGCACTTACAATGCAGCAAGTGCTGTGGTAATTATCAAGACCAAAACCAGTTAAGATCATGCATCTTTAAAAAGTTCTCAAACTGCAGAGATAGGAAGAAGGCATCAAGGAATATACCAAGGGAAAAAGGGACTGATCTAGATACCAGAAAATGTGGATTCTGTCCTAAGTTCGCACTACCAAACTAGGTTAACTTTGGACAGATTACTTTTTTGGGCTTCAGGTTCCACTTCTATAAAATAAAATGGCTGGAATAAATGATTTCAAAAATCTTTTTCCAAGTCTCCAAAACTCTGATACTAATGGTAAAGCCACCAAAGCTCTGTCTTCCTTTAAAATTGTCTGACATGCTTCAGTTTGGGAACCTCAAACATTACTACAGTCTTTGAAGACAAATTTTTGGAGAGTTTCCCCCTAGGAACACAGTGTATAACTTAATAAGAAACTGGCCAATATTAGTCAATGGACAGAGATATCAGGGATTTTTTGAAATCTTGAACTGTGAGATTTCTACAGCTAGAAAAAGAGACAGTAAAAATGTGATTTCTTCAAGTAATAGAAGCATCTTTATAAGTCAAGCTTTCTGATTTGTTCAAAGTACCAAAGCTCATTAACCCTTGAATCATTGGTTATTTTTGCTATTAGAAAGAAAAGATACATTAAGGCATAGTATCTCTGTAACAATGAAATTTCATTTAGTGGGAAAAGCTGTGGGATATATCAGACAGACATGTGTTTTTGTTCAAGCTTTGGAACATACTATCTGTGAGATCTTGAACAAGTTGCTTAAACTCTCCAATCTCAATTTTCTCATTGAAAAATGGGGATAAATAATAAAAACAACAAAACTACGGTAAGCTGGAAGTAGGGTGATTTACTAAAACAAGGAAGGAGATGCCTGACGTTGTTATAAGAATACGGCAGACATGAGGACTGAGTGATCATACTTCAAACTTAACATGTCCAAAACAGAAGTCTTGATTTCCTATACCCCCAACTCTGCTCCTTTCTCAGACTTTCCTGTTGTACTAAATGATCACGCCTAGGAATTAACCTTGATTTTCCTTTTCTTATCATCTCTAACGCTTAATTTACTAATAATTCTGTCAGCCCGACTTCTGAATTGTATCCTTGACCAACTTTCACTGTCTTCAGTGCCAATACTCAAGTCCAAGCTGTCATCATCTCTTACCCAGATCCTGCAACAGACTTCACTGCGATTCTGTTTTACTACCTCTGCAGTGGAGAACTCACTCAACAGCACAATCTTTTAAAAATGGAAATCAGATCATATCACTCCCTTGAATAGCTTTCCAATGCAATTAAAGTCAAGTCTAAATTCTTCACTGTGGCCTACAAGGCCCTACACAACCTGGCCTCTGCCTACTCCTCTGACCTCACTTAATGGCCACATATGGCTGCTGGCTACCAAACTGGACATCACAAAAGAAAAGACTTTTTCATCAGCACAGAAAGTTCTATGGTACAGCGCTGCTCTAGACACATTCCAAGCTCGTTCCTTCTTCCAAGTCTTTGTACTTGCTACTCCTTCTTCGAGAATGTTCTCCCAGAATTTGGGATGGCTGGCTCCTTCACATAATTCAGGTTTCAGTTCAAAAGAAGCTCCTCAGAGGAACCCTCTAAATTTAGATCAGATCACTCAGTCTGAAACAGTTGCCCAATCTCCCCAGCCCCAGACGCTCTATTCCATTACTCTGTTTTCTTTTCTTTATAGCACTTATCACTGTCTCTATTTGTTTCGTTTTGTTTCTGTTTCTACCCACAGAATGTAAGTACCTTGAGGGCAGGATTATGTTTGTAAGTTCACAGCTGTATCTCCAATGACTAGAGCAATATCCGGCACATAGAAATTTAAAATAAATTATTGAACAAAGTAGTAAATGAGTAAATATCTGATAGAACATGGGTTTGGGAATTAAACCAACCCATATTCCAATCCACTTACCAGCTACCATATCTTGAGAAAAAGTTATCTAATCTCTGACCTTAATTCCTAGTTTTGTCATGAAGAGCAAATAAAACAAAGCCTGCAATCTGCCTTGCAGAGAAACACCAGAAAGAAAGAAGCATGATGCAGTATGGAAGCACAAAGCTGCTACTGCTTAGGTAATCTCTTTCCCAAGTGTGACTGACCCATTCCTGATTCCTTTAAAGTGAGCTAGGTATTTCTGATAAAAGGTCCCATAATGCAACAAACAGAATATGGCAGCATAGTTCTGGATGATATAAAACAAAATAACAATGCTGTGGCCAGAATATGAACAGTATCTTAATGATAGCTAATATTCTGGGGTCACTTAAGTGCCAGCCATTGTGCTAATAAGCACATCATCTCATTTATTCCTCATGAAAATTCTTTGAGGTAGTATTATATTATCATTATACCCATGTTATGAATGAGAAAACTGAGGCACAGACAGATTAAGTAACTCACCCAAGAAGACAGGTCATAAATGCAGTAGGTGAACCAGGTCTGGTTTCAGAATCCAAACCTTTAGCTACAGTAACATGCTTGATCTAGTTACTGTAACATGCACCTTGCTTTTACAGTAGCTAGCACAGACCTGCAATCAGCGATGCTTTACTTTGGGTACTGCCATCTGAACTTTTATTTATTAGCCATCTTTTTTTAGTGGTATAAAGAACCAAATATGGCTTTTTACTTCATTTCAGCAACGCTCTCAAATCCTTGGGACTAAACTTAGAAAAACAGACAGACCTTCTGTCAGTATATACAACCATGAAACTTACTTATTTCCTCTCTTTTATCTAAACAAAATTTGGAGACTCCAATAATAGGACTGATTTTCCTGTCTATAACTGACACATGACAAATGTTCTAAACTTTTTCTATGATTGTTCTAGTGAGGCAGACCCATTCTCTCTTTTCTACATAAAAAAGAACTATTTAAAAATGTTTAAGAGGGCTTTACTTCAGTTTAAAACATTAAGGTTCCATCCTGTAGCAGAGATTCTGAATACTAATTCTGGTGGTGTTCAATCTACCACTACCTAGCAGTAGAGCCTTGAGCTAGTTACTACTCTCTCTGAAGCTCTGTTCTCCTTTTCTTAATATGATTCCACTGAATTAGACAGTGAGTGAGATCCATCTTATTTTACCACTGAGATTTTTTAATTTGGTTCTCTTATAGATAACTGTACTTCCTTTATCTCTCTCTAAAGAGTTAGGATCACAAGAAATCATTAATATTCAATACAAACCTCCATCAAGGCTTCGGGATGCCCGTTTGCTTGCTGTACGTTCAAAGTGTGGGGCAGGCCTGTCAATCAGAGCACTAGCTTGCCTGGTCTGAGCCTGAGTTCGGCCACTGTATCGAAATTTGGATCCCAGGGCAAGAAATTTGCTTTTAGGAATGGTGTCTGTAGATGTCAGTCTGGGGGAAAAAAACATAATAATCACATATGTATTATCTCACTCTAATGTGAGGCTGTGAGATTAAAGACAAAGTTTCACAATTCTCATAGTTTCCTCATAGTTACTAAGACAAATTTCCAATCAAGTAATCAATATTTTAATTCTGTGTCATTTCTCAAAGCAACATATATAATTTATCTGCAGCCTCTAATAAGGATATGATCTTATACCTCTATAGATAGGGCCTTATGGCTTTCAAAATGCTTTTATAACATTGTAATATTTTCATTACATCCCTGTACTTTTACATCATTGTACAGATAAAACAAACAGAACCATAAAAAAGAGGCTACTTGCTCAAGGTCACATAGCTGTTAAGAAGCTGGGCAGTAATGAAGTCCAACCCCAGAGCTCTTTCTCCACTCTACTAGAATAAGAATTTTGTCAAACACACTCTTAAGTCAATTAATGCCTGGTAACCTATTTAATAGGTTATTTGGTATATTTTCAACTCAGTTAGGAACCCCATCTTCTTTCTATGCAGTACCCCTGTGCTCTCTTTTGTCACAGCATTACTATACTGCATTGAAACAATCTGTTTATGTGCTGGTCTCCACTACGAGACTGTGAGCTCTCTAAGGGTAAAGGATAAAGACTGTGATTTATTCATCTTTGTGTTTTCACTTTGGGCATAGTGCCTGGCATGAATTTGGCACTCAATAAATGTTTGCTGAATAAATATATAAATTGCTACATCAAATACTATCAAAATGAGAGCATTTTTCCCCTTTTGGGACAGTTTAACTTGTAAATATTTTCTTTTATGTAATGAAGCATTACATTACAATGTTAATATATCCTCTTATTTTGATGCAATGGATTTAAATATACTATCCTATCTAAGTAAATACATTGGCTGCAGCTGAAATCTATACCATAGATACTAAACATTCAAAATAACTCTTTTTACTCTTTCTTACCCTTTTTAAAAACTCTATTTTCTCAAAACATAAGTTTCTTTTATTTCCTTATATGACTTTCTTTTTTTAATTCTAATATGAAATTTTTTTCCTTTTTCTTATTGAAGTATACTTGATTTACAAAGTTGTATTAGTTTAGGTGTACAGCAAAGTGATTCAGTAATACACATAGACACACACACACATATACCTTTTCAGATCTTTCCCATTACAGGTTATTACAAGATATTGAATAGTTCCCTGTGCTGCACAGTAGGTCACTGTCGTTTATCTATTTTACATAGAGTAGTCTGTATATAAAAACTCTATTTTCTTGGTTTTATTTTACAGAAGATGACAAAAGCATAAAGAAATATCTTAATGTTGATCATTAAGATTCTTTAATCGAGTGAAAAGTATATCCACATGTTTCATTTTGAAATGAGAATTAAAATATTATTTTCCCTGACTTTTCTTCCTGTCCACTGTTCTTTAGTGCTAAGTATGATATGAAAATACAAATAGAAGAAAATGATATCATGGTTCTCTCCCTTGGGAACCATTCATAAAGAGTCAAATTTATTTATGAATGACATGGCATAAAGTCTGGGATTCACTTCAAAATAATCTGGGAAGTAGTAGGAAAGAGTGGGCAGGGATACAGATGAAACAAGACTGGCTTTGGGTGATAATTACTGAAACTGGGTGATAAGTACAAGCCAAGTTCATTATACTCTTCTCTTCACTGTGCTATACGTGCCATTTTCTGTAATAAAGAATTTTTTTTAAAAAGGCGAACTGACAACAACTGGCTGGCTTTCCTTTCAATACAAGTAATTATTTGTCTGCTAGATTTCACGTTCCATCAGGACAGGGACTAGAACTATCTATGGTATATTCCCAGTGCCTAGTATAGTGCCTACACGAAGGGTAAGCACACAGAAAATGCTTGGTAAATGAACACAAGGGGTTAATGATGTGGCCTCTTGAAAAGCAAAAGAGATAAAACTTTCTTCTGTCTTCTGTTTATCTGACACAATTGTGCTTCAAAGATGGTTTTCTGTGCTCTCTTTCTGGGGTTGATTAGAACCAAGATAAGGATCAACTTCATCTTTAACCATCCAGTATAAAAGCCCCACAGAAGGCAGTTAAGCACTCCGTAGAAAAATTCCACGTGGAGGTAACTCAGGGTTCCTCCTCCTGACAGGGCAGGTTTGAGCTCCAGTTAGGGCAATCACAGAGCCCCTAGTAAACGCAGGTTCCTATTCTTCACTTCTCCCCTCCTTCTACCGTACACAGAAAGGTGCTCTGGGGATGCTGAGGCAATGTTTTTCAGCCCAAAGAGGATAACTAGATTCATTTTGTTTTTTTTAAGATGATCTCACCTGAGCTAAATAAAAGACTGCCAGCCATACAAAGAAGAGAATTTCAATAGCAGGCTTAAAATAGAAACATGCATAAATAATTTATTTAAAAAAAAATCAAATGAGAACAATACCTGAAAAATGTGTGATGCTCTACACAGACTTTCCATAATTTCTTAGCTGCTCGGTAACTGGGAAGTTTGAATCCAATGGTACTTTCATACTGTTCTTGCTATAAATACACAAACATGGAACATAAAGTATTATGCAACTACCGTGATACAGGACCAGAGAAATGACCTGCAGTAGAGGTCATTGTGAATAAAAAGAATGTTATAGTCTACTAAGGACATAAAATAACATTTGAAGTTTTCCCCTACTTGTCAAAAGAAATTTACTCATTGAGGGTGGCTTTTTCTACAGCAGGGAAGCCAGGGAATGCATGCATCTTATATTATTTATGTATCTTATTCTGTTCAGAAACACACACATATATATGCTGGACATTTTTCTGAGACATAATTAAGTCACCTTTTGGTTGTCCAGACACTGCTCTTCCTTAGCCACCGTCTGTGGTTAGGATATTAGGCTACTCAACAATCAGGGAATGGGACAGGGATGATTCCTCCAATCAACCAATATTATTATACAATCATTTTTTTGTAACAGAAGCTAAAGATTTTGGCTCAAACCAGATTCTTGAATTATTAAATGTCTTTTTTCCCTTTGATTGATCATTAATTTACCTAGATCCCTCTTCGGCTGAAGCAAACCATATCCTGCCAGGACTACTAGGAACACTAGTCCTGCTTGTCTCTTGCCTCTTTGTTTCTGCCTTAAGCATACTTTATAAAATGAAAGGAAGCTGACATTTACTTCTGGTGCCTATTATTGCCAATACACCATGATTAAATAGTATCATCCAAATGTTTACACATGAAGAAACTGAGACCAGATAAATTACTTGCTTAGTCTCACAGCTCTTAAGTGGCAGAACCAGAATTTGATGGTTTCCACTACACCATGCTAATTCTAAATCATCTACTGTAGTCATAATAATGTACTTCTCAAAATCCACCTGTTTCTCCTCATTCGGCTTCTTAAGAATTCTGTATTTGCAGTATATATATATTTTATATGTAATAATATATATATATTATATGGTTGACATTTAAGGAAACCAAGGAATTTCCATTATTTTTATTAATTATATATATATATATTTGGTTTTTTTTACTGCCTTCCCACATTAAAATGTAAGATTATTGAGGGATGGACTCTTCTATTCACTGTCCCTAGTCCCCAGAATAGTACCTGGCACAAAGAAAGGCTTTAACAAATATTTGTTGACTGAATGACTCTTGGATTTGAAACTCTTTGAGGAAAGACACTGATCCCTTTGTGCTAGGCAGAGGTAAATAATCACAGCATTAAATAAACACTTCAATGATAAAATTCAAGATTTTAAGGCTGCACATTCAGTATTTCCATGCTCAAACAGTCATCTTCCACCAGCAGATGGTGATATAGACACAGAAAAGTCACTTTACATTAGTATGATGCTTTCCTGTTTAGAGCTTTTACAGTTCTCATCTCCTTTGATCTTCAAATCAACATTGACAGAGGAGGTATTATCCCTCTTGAATGATAAGGAAGCTGAGTCTTAGATTTGTCAAGAATCTTTTACTTATTATGTGGCAGAACTCCTAGAACTTTTAAAAAATTTTATTCCTGCTTAATTTTCTGCAATACCATGATGGTTCTTTAATATAAAAGTTAAATTTGGCCTGTATTAGTATATCCTAACAATTGCCCACTAACTGATAACTCAGTTATCTGTACAAAGTTGAACATCTATCTCTATTAAAAATATAGAATTTGACCCAAAAACACATTCCCAGTAACTACTAGAACCTACAAAATGTAAATAAATTTAATTATATGAGGTAAGGGATTGGTGGTGCAAAACATGAGTAATTTAACCCCACAATTAAAAAATCTCATGCTACTTTATTTAAAAATATTTTCCATCCAGCTTTTACCTGGAGTAAACAAGGAACAAGTTTATTAATACAAGTTTCACTTTGGGCCATGGTAAATTTACTTACATGAAGAGAAATGTCCAGAAAACCAGTAGTAAGGAAGAGAAGAAGCATCGTGGGAATGATTAATTTAGAAACCAGAACATCAGCACCCAAACTGTTAGCTATAGAGAGCCCTCTTAGATGATATAACAAGGAAAACAGGAATGAAGAGTTGTCTTAGACATGGTCTGTGTTGAATTCAGAAGGAAAGAAGCACAAATTCTGTACCTCTCCAGGCCGAATCTTGATGAAAAAGCTGCTACGTTTGTAAGAAATCTTCAGCACTTTGGGCCAAGGAAAGCGGTTGATTCTCAGCTTATCTTTGTAAACCAGAAGGCCACTAGAGCAGACACCTAGGATGATATCCACTCCCTCCAAGTCCTGAAAAAGAAAAGTGTTAGTATTTCAGTCTTGAGCAAACTGCTCAACACTGTTGACTATTATTAGACAATCTGAAGATATCAACAACAAAAAACAGCTGCAAAGTATACAAGAAAAATAAAGCTTAACCTAACAACTAGAACTGATGGAACTATTTGGTCTATATAAAAATATTGTTACTATACCAGATTTTTTTAAAAATCAGCATTATTACCTATCGCAAATATCTTTAAAATGTCCAAATCATACTCAGTAATTCTATGTCCATAATCTGTTCCAAGGAAATAATTCAAATTACAGAAAAAGTGTTATATATGAAAATATTCAGGTTATTTTAAGAGTGAAAAACTGGATATAACCTAAGTATCCAAGCATTAGGGTTAAATTATTGTCCATCCATATAGTGAAATACAGTGTGGCCATTAAAACAGTTACATACAATTTGGGAGATAAATGGGGAAATAATTATGTTTAATGTTAAATGAAATAAAGCAGGATAAAACTGCACATACAATTTGATCCCAATAATATAAAAAATATACACAGAAGAAAGATGAATATACCAAAATGTTAGCAATGGCATTCTTTAGGTGGTATGATCATGAGCAATTTTGTTATTTTTTCTATATTTTCCAATTACAATAAACATATATTAACGTTAGAAAACATTTAAACATCAAAAAACTAACACCTGTATGTAAAAAATTTGAATACAGAACTGTGTGAAATAAAAAGTAAAATTCCACTCCTCTCCTCCCACACTTTTTAACAGTAACCAGTAATAATTTGGTAATTTCCAGGTATCCTATTTTCTAGACACATACAGATATGTGGATAATACATACATACATATATGTAAATATATTAATATATATCACCTTTATAATCAAGAAAAAAATTATAAACCACTCCTTGATGGTAGATATTACATCTAAATCATTTTTGTATCACCCCAAATACTGTTATTGACAACATGCTCATTAGGTGTTTACACTGAGTTTGTTACCTGCCTACATTATTATCTTAACTTATTATGGCAAATATTATTAAATTCTTTGCTTTGGATTTATAAAAATCTTGATTTACGTAGGTTGATAAAGAATTTCAAGGTATTTTAGTAACAATATACACTAGGCTTAAACCTTCAACCATTACCATCAATTATTTCATTCATTATTAGTGACTGAAGAAACACCTGCTTTTCTTTTGTCCAAAAAACACGGACATGCACACATCTTACCCACTGAAGGAATCAACTGCTACAAGGAATAATACAGCCACCACCACCACCCCGCAAAGCCACTGTGAAATGTCACTGGGTTTACACCTCATTCATCTACCTTCACAACACTCCTCCCATAAAACTGAGCCTCTGCAGTCTCTAAAAAGGCTTTTACTAATCCAAAAAAAGTAATTTACTTTTACCCTGTCTGACTGTGTATGAAAATTGTAGGGTAAGCATTCATATTCTCATTTTGGAGAACTGGAGCTCTCACAGTTCTGAAACACTAAGACCTATCATTATCATAATTAGCAAATAATTACTACAGTATCTGCATGTCCTATACATGTATATTAAGTCCCCAGACCACAGGACTTCTGGAGGCCAGGG